ATTGAATGAAGTAAAAACCTTTCACATCATTCAAAAGTATTAATTTCTTTAAATGGGAACAAATTTAGTCAGTAAATACTATATAGCTTAATTTCTTATATCCTTACCTCAGCATGGAAGTCCCATTAATTTGAAGTAAACAGAATCCATTCCCCAGGAATGAAATTTTAGGTCATCACTAACTCTTTACTCTTTCGCACAAAAACTGTCCATAAAACTTCAAAAACTTTTTCTACAACAATTCCTGTGGTTCCCCTTTCTCCATTCTTGTCATCACGTCCTCCACTTGGCAAAACTTCCCAAACACTGCTCCACATTGGAATCACCTGGGGAATCTCTAAACTTTACTGATGGTACATGGCTCTACCCCACACACTGTGACTTAATTAGAATGGGGTAGGGCCTGGTTATTAGTGATTCTAATATGCAGCAAAGTTTGTACACCACTGACATTGGCTCTGAACAATTTAAACTGAGATTTTTGAACTCTCAAAGTTTCCTTTTCTATAGAAAGTTCTGAAAAGAATCCTAATTTTTTTTTCTATTTTCTCCACCAAAATTCCAAATTTTCAGTATATGGATCATTATTTGACTCACATGTCTTAAAATGGGATACAGTGTCATCCTGTCCATAAAATGCAGAAATTGTACCAGATGATTTCTAAGGTTTCTTCCCACTCAGAATTTATATAGTTCTCAAAAAAAAAAATCAATCAACAGTCCTTTCTGGATTCTCAAGCACACCTAACACCCTTCAGTTTTCCTTCACCATCCTCCTCTTTCTAGTGAGTTGCACCATATGAAATTTGCCAGTATTAGATTATTTTTAACTCAAAGAAACAGCCATTTCCTATGATTCATCCTAGTATTTCCCTACTATTTATTCTTTATACAAGAACTTTTAAAAAAACATTTATTTGGAGATCGAGAGATTTATTTGAGAGACAGAGAACGCACACAATCGGGGGGAGGGGCGGGGGGGAGAGAGAGGGAGAGGGAGGGAGGAGACGGAGAGAGAGATAGAGGGAGAATATCTCCAGCCAACTTTCCACTGAGAGTGGAGCCCGACTCGGGACTCGATCCCATGACCCTGAGATCATGACCTTAGCTGAAATCGAGAGTCAGACGCTTATTAACCAACTGAGCCACACAGGTGCCCCAATACCAGAACCTTTAACATAACACAACCCAAGCTAAACTACTTCTTTCTTGACAACTCCACTGAAATCTCAATTCCTTATCACAACTTAGACATTATGACAAGAAAGGGAAGAAGAAATGGGTCCATACCTAAAGACCAAGGATGCCTTTTTTTTTAATGTTCTACATACGTATACTTGAGTGCGTTAGAGCTATTAGATGAAGTTAACGTTTAAAAGTTTTACTATACAAGTATTTACATTGACTACTTAAATAGCATAAATTGAGTTTGTTTTTTACTTCTTGCATTAGAATATCAGGGGAACCCAAACTAAGACAGTGAGGCATTTTTTTTATTATTGAGAGGTACAACTGACATGCAACATTATATTAGTTTCAGGTGTACAACATAATAATTCAGTATTTGTATACATTGCAACATGATCATCACAATAAGTCTAGTTAACATCCATCACCAGACATACAGAATTTTTTTTCTTAGATGAGAACTTTAAGATCTATTCTCTTAGCAACTTTAAAATATGCAACACAGTATTATTAACTATGGTCACCATGCTGTATATTACATCCCAATGACTTATTTATTTTGTAACTGGAAGTTTATACCTTTTGACCCCTTTACCCATTTTGCCCCCTCCCCACTGCCTCTGGTAGCCACCAATCTGTTCTCTGTATCTGTGAACTGGTTTCTGTTTTGTTTTGTTTTTAGATTCCACATATAAGTGACATCATATAGTATTTGATCATATGGTCTTTCTCTGACTTATTTCACTCAGCATAATGCCCTCAAGGTCTATCCTATGCTTGCATGTGTGCGTGTCCATACACGCACACACACACATATACTTTCTTTATCCATTCATCCATCTATGAACACTTTAGGTTATTTCCATGTCGTTGCTGTTGTAAATAATGCTGCAATGAACATGGGAGCGAATATATCTTTTCAACTTATTGTTTTCATTTTCTTTGTAAGTGGAATTGCTGAATCATACAGTAATTATATTTATAATTTTTTTCTGTTAAACTCTCTATATTATTATTATTATTATTATTATCTATTTTTAATTTTTTGAGGCACCTCCATACTGTTTTCCATAGTGGCTGTACCAATTTACATTCCCATCAATAGCGCACAAGGGCTCCTTTTTCTCTACATCCTCACCAACTTCTTTCTTGTCTTTTTTGGTAACAGACAATGTAACAGGTATAAATTAAGTTCAAAAAATATCTACCCAAGCCAAACTACTGGGTAGCTTGCTTTTCAAACCTAGTATTATACTGTAAGCATTTTCTCTGCAATACATTTTACTAACTTTAAAACCCAAACTTCAGAATAATTTATAGGATTTAATATTTTTGAAAAAAAAAATGGAGGAGAGGGGAACTACACTGACTACTCTATGTGAAAGAGCCTCTGGCTTCAGAGTTTAACTTATCACCTTATTTCCTTTATAGTATCTGTCAGACTTTGCAATCATCTTGTTTAGTGCCTGTCTTCCCTCCACTTGAACTAAGTTCCCTGGCAACAGAGTTTTGTCTTTTTCACTACTATTCAGTCCCTAGAGAATGTCTAGCACAAAACACATGCTCAATAAATTTTTGAATATACATAGGGAAAAGACCAAAAGGCAATGTTAAACTTGACTATGTTGGTGATTTTGTGATTTTTTTCCTTAGGTATCTTTTTCTGTTTACTGTGTTTTCTATTTACAGTATATATTATTTTTATTACAGGAAAAGGTTATTTTAAAATAATCATTTCAGGGCACCTGGGTGGCTCAGTCAGTTAAGCATCTGACTCTTGATTTCGTCTCAGGTCATGATCTCAGGGTTGTGAGACTGAGCCTCCCCCACCCCCACCCTTCGGCTCTGTGCTCAGTGGGGAGTCTGCTGGAGATTCTCTCTCCCTCTCCCTCTACCCCTGCTCGTGCACACTCTCTCTTTTTCTCTAATAAATCAATCTTTAAAAAGTAAAAATAAAAAAATAATCATTTCAAATTAATGTTTCAGACTTTGTAGAAATACTTCTAATAATTTGAAAAATTCAATATAAAGGTCATCTTTTGAAGCCATAGAAGTTCAGTTTATCAAGAATTAGCCATGACATTAATTTTAAGGCAACTGTATAAAAACAAATCATGTAAAAATATATATCACCACCACTCATCATCAGGGAAATGCAAATCAAAACTACAACTCACCCTATAGCACTTGTGATGTTTCAAGAGAATGCAGAGAGAGAACAAGCACAAAGAGTTTATGAGCTTTCTTAGCATGAGGCTACATTTAAGCTGATTGCATTGATCCTAATTTTGCTCTTAACTGTTTTACAATTTAACAACTTAGCTTCTTAGACCAATGCCCCAAGCTTAATCATCACCTGAAGCATTTACATTTGCTGACCTTGTGATCCCAGACTGGCCTCTCTACCCAGAGCCAGGCATCTCAAATCACACATTGCAGGCCACGGATGGGGCTGGGGTGACGGGACAGTGAGAAGACTGGGTAATGAGATCATTATAAATTCACTACCTACCCCTACTGGAAAAACATCAAGGTGCATGGTTTAAAGACAACAAAAGTTCATGCAAGGTTTAAAAACAACAGAAAGTTCTTATGCAATACATTCATGTATTTTTTAAAGAGGCTCACCATCAATTTTACACTGGTTCTGAAACATCTAATGCAATCTAATTCAAGGCATGTTCATAATGCATGATCTCTTTTCTTGAGTCAAAGAAATAAAAAGAATTATTTGTCAATTAGGATTTATGGTTATGGCTTAGTTCCCAATTTCAGCAGATGCAACAATCTCTTATAACAACAAACAAAACTGTTCAAAATGCCTCTTTAAGCTTTTTGTCTGACTCATTTCATGCAAATGGGCTGGTTAGAATTTTATCACATTTGGAGAATATGTTTGAGCCTGACCCAAAATTAAAGCTAAGCTATAAATACAAAATTCACGTTAAGGGGTAAGACTCCTCATAGGGGTGGAAAATCACTCTCCTGAGCAGCTGACACTGAGGAGTCACGACAGGCCTTATGATTGCTGACCAAGAGAAACAAGCCCTATGTATTAAGATGCCAGAAACAGAAAACAAATAGTACTTTCAAATATGATCCTCAAATTGAAAATCCCAAGAGCAGACATTCAGAAGACACTTTGATCTGTGATGGAGCTGCTATTCACGGAGGCAGCTCTAAGTGGCAACACCCTGGAGTGAGAAACAGCAGGGGATTTTTTTTTTTTTTTTTTTTACAATGGTTAATAATTCTCCATAGGGAAAGCCAGCTAGCTTTCAAATAACACCTATTAAATTTGTAAACTGAGAAGTTCACATAAATCAGGGGATTAAAATCTAAGATAGCTACAATTTAGTATAAATTATGCTTTAGCTACCTGCTCAAAAATCTGCTCCATAACAAAAACATAATTAACGATGATTTTTGACTCACAGTGTTACAGCATAAAAAGTAAATTATTTCATTTTATTTCTCCAAATTACAGCAGAAAAATCAATAAGTTTCACATACATACATATATATGTGTGTGTGTATAAAACTGCTTTCAGGCTAAAAATTGATACAATAATAAACTCTAAATTTATCAATTTTGCATTTTCTGCTTCACTATAATAAATCATACTGCATCCCAATGAGGAATGAAAGCAAAAACAAGCCCCAAGCCTACTATACTATAAAAATTTACCTAGCTCTATCATAACTACCATCTGCCTGTGGGAAGGAATAGCTTCTGTGAATCAATTATTATCCAAAGGCAATATTATTTCTTAAGGAAGTGAAAAGTCACGCTCACACATGTAGATCAATACCTTTCCAGGGACCCGGAGACTCTCAATGGCACCAAGATCACTAAGGCTTTCCGGAGGGCTTTTCAGACCCTTAAAAAAATAGTAATAATAAAATAAAAAGAATTTTAATTATGCTGCAGAACTGTAAAATGATAGAACATACTTATTAAAATAGAAATCACCATTTTAAAAATAGGAAGTTTCCTGCTTTAAAATATATAGAACATGTCTTCTAAAAACAACTGTCACTTAATACATATAGTACTATTATCAAATCAAGTAAAGATGTACTTTGGAAGTTTAAAAGTATTATATGGCAGCTTCACAACTAATGGTTGAAGTCTAGCTAAACCATGGTTTAAAAACAACCAACAGACAAGAAAATTGGGTGACAAAAAGCATTCTATAAAAGCACTTATATATTAAACATTATCAAATTCACCTGATAAGAAGGACCAAGTATTATGATTCTTATATAATATATATATTATATATCTATATATATATATACATATCATATATATAATATGATATAATATAGCAACCAGTTAGCTAATCAAAGATTTCTAAATAATGCCAATTGCTTAATTAATACATAAATACCCTTGATTCTACCTGATTATTTCTCACCAATGTACCCAATTTATACTTCAATCTCATGGGACTTCAATCTCATGTCTTGCTGCTTTCTACTGTTCTTTAGCTCCTTGGTACCCAGTAATTTCTATATTCACATCAACTGAGGGATTCTGAAAATCTCATTTGAACCAAGGAAAGTTATCAAGACAGAAAGAAGTTAGCAATCTCACTTTTCTTTGAAAGCTCTTTTTAAATATAGGCTCTTCAAAGCAGATATCTAAAGTCCCTGTAATATTAGTTTGTAAACAAAATTAGCTGGTACATAAATTTGAAGAGCATTTTTGTCCTTTAGATGCCCTATATTTGCCCTATGATGTCCTCAGTTACCAAAACATATGGCATACTTAGGTTGACTATTTGAGACTTACAGCAGAACTTACTTATTTTTAAATTATAGAGCTATGATTTCTATCTTCCCTATTATAAAATATGACCAGCCATAACTACATTTTTTTAAGATAAGGTGCTTTGCCTCACCCCTAATTATTCCACTACTCCCAGAACACCCCACCCAGGCTTCTCTCACTTTCATTCTCTCATATTCTCTCTATCCCTCTTTCTCTCCCTCTCATACACACACATACACACAATATACACACACATATACATACACACGAGTGCAAAACTTCATAATTTGATTCAAAATCATGACCACTCCAAAATATATTTTTAAAATATAACTGCCATGCCTTTTATTTTTTAAAGACTTATTTGAAAGAGAGAGCGCACAAGGGGAGGGGCAAGGGGAGAGAGAGAGAAAGAAAGAGTCCCTAGCAGATCCCACAGAGTGCAGAGCCGAATGCAAGGCTCAATCTCACGACCCTGAGATCACAACCTGAGCAGAAACCAAGAGTCATACACTTAACCTACTGCGCCACCCAGGTGCACCTGCCATGCCTTTTAAACAAATATTTTTAAAACTATAGATGTGTTTATCCAATCTAACAGAAATTCTTGGAGGAATATATCACAGGTAATTTTCTTTCTCCCCAGAGCTACTCAGTAAAGAAACCAATGCCTGAAATGTAAAGAAGAATGTATATCAATATATAGGAAAAGGCCTTATCTCCAAATTAGTCACCCCATACAATAATAATTTGCTACTAATATATGGCAACTTTCTACCAAATGTACAAAATAAAAGAAGTAAAAATTGGGGGCGCCTGGGTGGCTCAGACGGTTAAGCATCTGCCTTCGGCTCAGGTCATGATCTCAGGGTCCTGGGATCGAGCCCCGCATCGGGCTCCCTGTTCCAGCAGGGAGTCTGCTTCTCCCTCTCTCTCTGCTGTTCCCCCTGCTTATGCTCTCTCTGTCAAAAATAAATAAAATCTTTAAAAAAAAAAAAAAAGAAGTAAAAATTGGAAACCCTGTTACATGTTAGGAAGTAGGGGAGCTCAGTGATTCAGGGAATGGGCCCCGTGGTCTTGAACAACTTATCTAACCTGCCCATCTTTATATTCTAATGAATGTGACAATAATGCAGAGGCCAATAATAAGGAGTAAAGGAGATAATGTATGTGAGAGGCCAAAAACAGTGTCTAGTACATGGCAAGCATTCTTTAAGTGCTAACCATTATTCTGATTATTACTGTGATCACAGAGAAATGCTTTTCTTTTATCAAAACTGAAATAAAGAATTACATAAATGTCTCAGAGCACATCTGACACGTGTATTTTAGGGTTATAGATCTTAAAGCCTTTGATTAGCAATTTTATAAATTTCTACTGACAAAAATGAAGTCATGATTTTTATCCTCACTTCTCTAAAGCAGAAAGTCATGGTTATAACTATGGTATTCTGCTTTTACAAAATCATTAACCATTATTGATTTTCTTTGGTATTTGGTATTTGTTTGGATAAATTTCTCCAGTTTAAATTTATACAAAATTCAGCATAAATAATACCTGCCTCTGCACTTTATTTCTTTTCTCAAAGAAGATTAACACTTCAGACTACTTCTGTTATATCTACATGAATCTTCTATTTCCATTTATGAGACCAGCAACTTATGTCCCAAAGATCAAAAGGAGCATGTGAGGTGATTTCTGCCTCCTTCTCTTTTCAGCGAAATTCAACATAGTGGTTATACTCAGTCCTCAATTTCTCTTAAACCCACCCTAATCAGGCTTTCCTCCCCATCACTTCATGAAAAGTGCTGCTATCAGGTACCTGATGACCCCCATGCTGCTCAGTCCAAAGGCTCATTCTCATCTTCAGCCACCCATCTGCAGCAGTTAGCACAGCTGATCACTCCCTTCTCTTTTAAATTTTTTACTTCGGGCTTCCACTCTACTTGGTAGCTCTTTATCTCTTTATCCACCATGTATCCAAAAAATATTTACTGAGCATCTGATACTGGACAGGTGATCTTTGAGATGCTGCAGTCCTCCCTTACTGGCTGCTCCTTCTCAATCTGCCTTGCTAGATCCACCTCTTCCCCTAACCTTGTAACACTGAAATCTCAAATGTTCCAAGTGTGGACCCCCGTTTTATATCCACACTCATTCCATTGGTGATCGTAGCCAGTTTATGTACCTTATATGTGCTTGTAAGTCCCAAATTTGTATCTATATCCTGTGTTTCTCCTCAGAAATTGAGACTCTTAGCCAACTGCCTATTTTATCTCGCCACTTAAATATCTAAAAGAGGCTTTCAAATGAACAAGTCTAAAAACTTTCTGCCTCTCCTGAATCTGTTCCTTCCTCAGCCTTACCCACTTCGTTAAATGGCAATTCCAATGGCTGGGGCCAAACCATCTGGAATCAACCTTGATGCTTCTCTTTCTCTCACAGCCCAAATACCATCTGCCAAGAAATCCTGTCAACTCTATATTTACAATATACAAATGATCTAACCTCTTCTCAACCCTTTCATCACTAACATTCTGGTTAAGGCCCACACATTCTCTCATTCAGATTACTGCAACAGCATCCTTTTTGTTCTCCCTGGTTTTGCTCTTTTTCCCTCTTCAAACTATTCTTTTAAAAGAGGCCAGAAAGATCTTTCTGAAGTCCATTTATGTAAAATGAGATCAAGCCTCTGCTTGCTATTTCAATCATAATAGAAGCATGGCTTTGCTATTAGTGAGAAGAAAAGTAGTAGGAGATGAGGTCAAAATGAGGTCCTGTGTGATCTGGCTTCCTGCTCTCAGCTCTCTGACTTCATCCAGACCTCACCTCCTACTGTTTTCTCCTCACTTACTTTACTCCACCCACACTGGCGTCTGGCTGTTCCTCAGCCATGTTCCTGCCTCAAGGCCTCTGCATTTGCTCTTCCTTCCACCCGGAATGCTCCTTCCCAAATATCCGCATAGTTCCCTTCCTCACTTCCTTCAGGTTTTTACTCCAATGTCACCTTCTCGGTGAGACCTTCCATGGCCAAACTATCTAAAATTATAAATGATCCCAATTTGCCAACAACTCCCAGGCCTCCCTATCCCCTATTCCTCCTAAGCATTAATCCCTCTGTCTGCCTGAGCACTTGTCTGTTTTGTTCACTGCTACACCCCCAAACTTAGAATAGTGCCTGGCACATAGTGCTCTGTAAACATTTGTTGAATGAACTGAAGGAACAGAGGGCCAGCATAATAGAGAAAGCTGAACAACAGACCTCATCTAAATAAAGAGTGCCTACAAAGCCCATCCTCCCACTCTTTTCCACACCAAGATCCTTGCAGAGCTGAAATACCAAAAAACCTAAGTTTCATAGACCTTTCTTGTCTCTCCACCTTAATGATATTATCAGCATATTCTTTAGCCTTACAAAAAAGAAACATCTTTGTGTATATTTATTTGTAATACTACTAAATTTAACCCAATAATAAACAGTACTAAATAAAAATCTCCAATGTAACTCCAGGCGGCAGCCTACTTTCATACCTCAAAGATTCATGAAACGTGTATTAGTAATGATTAAACATGTGGAAGTCAAGCCATAAACAAACATAATTAGGATGACTTTTAAAATCTGTGTAGGGGCGCCTGGGTAGCTCAGTCAGTTAAGTGTCCAACTCTTGGTTTCGGCTCAGGTCATGATCTTGGGATCATGAAATCAAGCCCCACATCAGGCTCTGCATTCAGCATGGAGTCTGCTTGAGATTCTCTCCCTCTTCCTCCACCCTGCCCCCCATTCGAGCGCTCACTCTAAAATAAATAAATAAAATCTTTTTAAAAATCTATGTAAAACTCCTAATTTTACCTCACTTTTTACACAGTATAGTTCCAGCTTTTTGTATGTGTTCTTTAGTTTTTTTCTATACCAACTAAGCACTGATTTGACCTGCTCAAGTCCAATAAGCAACTGATGGAGGCTGAAGAATCACCATTTTCACAATTGCACTACATTTAGGAGACCTCTGTGATCAAGCACTTCCTTGGTAAGACCCAGGAGATGTGTTAACTCCTTTATCTCTTTATCTTCATCATATCATATGAACATCACCACCAGGCTGACCCCATGAGTTACATGTTACTATTTATATTTTAAAGATGTGGAAACAAATGCTCTAAAAAGTTTGGTGACTTCCTCAAGGTCACATGGCTCCAGCAGGATGGAGCAGGACCCAAACATCCTCAAGTAACAAGTGGTATGAACCATAACACCAGTACTCAACAAATGTGAGGGATCGCCACTTACTTAAATCTTTTATTATTCAAAGAACTTTTAAATTTTATTTTCATGACATTAACAATATAATTTAAAAGGAGTAAAATAATCATGTAGGATTCACGTATTCTTCACAAGATATTTACCATTTGTAACCTATTCAGATTATCTCTCAAATAAGAGTTTAATTTGGAATTTGTAATCTCCTTCTAATCAACAACAAAACTCACAAATGAACCTTTCACTGAATGATTATCCTCCATATTCTCCAAAGTCCTCAAAATTCTCTGATTTAAAATTCTAAATTATACTTCTTTCATATAAAGATAATGATGAATGGCCAATTCTGGTGAAATATTAGAGTTGAATAAATAAAGGTATTTAAAACCAAATCATAACCAGTAAGTGTGTAAAAGGAAATTCTGCCACTTCTTCCTTGAAGGAAGCTGAGACATTATTAGGAAGTCCCTAACATTTATGAGATGGAATAATAAAAAAAAAAAGCCAAAGTTTTTATTCATGAATTGTCATTGCAGCAAAAAATAAAAGGCCATTATTTTGCCATAACAACGATTTTTAAAGTATCTTTTCACATACATTAAATTATTGGTGACTCTCATAATAGAACTATAAAATAAGATTAACAAAAATAATTATTATTCTCATTTTCACATCTGGAAATTTAAGCTACAAGGTTTGTGAACTTGCCCGAAGTCATAAAGCTACCAATTCTGTCTTCAACTCATCCGTTTTTTTCACGCTTTCCAGTCATCTCTATTGCACAGACCTCACCTCCCTACCCCGGCCACCTGCTCAAAGACGACACACAGCCTAGATAAAGGGAGCCCTGCAGGGTAGCTGGGGCTGTCACTGGAACGATGGCAAAAAGGAGAGGAGACAAAGATAGCCCTCATTGAAACTCGCTCATTAACCTTATCTAAAGGAATATTTCTGGGACGCCGCTACCCGCCTGAGCAGGGCTCAGATCACGGTGGCTCAGGTAAGTTTTCCAGGGTGTGCCCCGGCTTCCCAGTGCCCCTGATACCTGCCACCAGCCATACCTTCAGTTAAGCCAGCAAATCTTATTGCTCCGCCCGCCCCAGCCCAGAGACAGAACATCTAGGCTCCTCTACCAGCAGAGACGGAGGAGGCCTTCGCTTCAGCCTCCGCTACTTACCTGTCGGGTCATAAGAGATTTGATTTTTTGCATGTCGGAATCGTAAGAGTGGTACCCTGCCGCAAAGAACTAATAAATCACGCCGAACCACCAGACAGCTGGCCCGGGCACAGGGAAGCCATAGTGAGTAGTCACGTGGAGCTGCTGACCCGGGTCATCCTTTCCTGCGCTGAGCATGCTGGGCATTGTAGTCTTCCGGCCGCCGCGGACACCGGCAATGAAGAGACGAGGACAGCTCAGGTACTACATTTCCCAGGAAGCAAAATAGCGTATGCTTCAGTTAAGCCAGCAAAGCTTGTTGCTCTGAGTGACCACGGCGACCGCCCGTCTTTACGGAGGTGCTTGCTCTTGGTCACCCCGCTTCGGTAAGGCGAAAACCTAACTCATAGCTGACCAGGCATTGAGCGACAGGAGCAAGCCCTGAGAAGACCGTATATAAACCGGACTGACGTGATTTCCCCCTCACAGTGTAGTGGAGGAAACCCAACCTGGTCCAGAGAGGCGGGGTGGGAGGACGTGAGACTGACGTGACAGGATCTCAAGGAAAGGCACTCTCCCAGAAGTGATCTGAGAACCTGGGACTCTGCAGCTGGTTCTGGGCTTTGGCCTGAGAAAAGGTGTGGTGCAATAGGCAGCTGTCCAAGGTTAGGGCTGTTCTTTCTCAGTCTTGACATCCACTGCAAAAAAATAAAACCGCATCTGATCTAAGGCAAGTCGAGATAGAAAATATAACAATAATAAGTATACATTTATACACTTTAAAGTTCTCATTTCAACTCTTAGCAGTTTAGTTAAATTGAGAAAAGTAATAGGAGAGGTGTTAGGCGTTTGATTTAAGAAAGAACTGTCCAGGGGCGCCTGGCTGGCTCAGTCAAGCATGCGACTCTTGATCTCAGGGTTGTGAGTTCGAGCCCCACGTTCAGTGTAGAGATTATTTAAAAAATAAAATCTCTAAAAAGAAGGAAAGAGAAAAGAAAGAACTTTCCAATTATGAGAATACTAGGGGGGGAAAAGCAATCCAGAGTTAACAACAGGTAGCATTTATTGAGAGCTTACTACATGTCAAGAACTCTGCTAAAAGCTTCACATATATTATCTCATTTATCCACACAAACATCCTATGGGGTTGTACAATTATCCCCAATTTATTTTTTTCTTTTATTTTTTTCAATTATCCCCATTTTAAAGATGAGGAAACTAAGGTATGGAGAAACTAAGTAACGTGTCTAAGATTACTGCAACATACAAACAGAAACTGAAGGAGTGATTATTTGGATGTTGTTTCAAGTAAGAGTTTCATGTATGGTGTTGAAGAGTGAGTCATGAAGTATGGTACCAATAATTTTTTAAAATTTACATTTAATTAATGTTTATTAGAAAACCTGTGAGTTCAGAAATATTTCCTAGGACAACTGAAAAAGTGTTAAAGTGTGCCAAACTAATGAAAAATACTAGGTAAACCATAGTACGGGTGGTAGAAAGATATGGCAAAAATAATAAAAGTAGTTTGCAAATAACTGAAGCTTAGAGAACATTATATAGAGGTTATTTCCAATTCTGAAATTCTATCATTTGACCTCTGAGTCTTGCCTTTCCCTTTGTCTCATTTTTACAAATGAGGTTGTAATATTTGACCTAAGATTTTTTTTTTTTAAAGATTTTATTTATTTTTTTGACAGAGAGAGACACAGTCAGAGAGGGAACACAAGCAAGGGGAGTGGGAGAGGGAGAAGCAGGCTTCCCGCGGAGCAAGGAGCCCGATGCGGGACTCGATCCCAGGACCCCGGGATCATGACCTGAGCCGAAGGCAGACGCTTAACCGACTGAGCCACTTAGGCGCCCCATGACCTAAGATTTTGTAAGGATAAGTGAGATGATGTAGTTGAATACCAATTTATAAATGGTAAAGCACCTTACAATTATGAAGAATTATAGTCACAAGTCTGCCTAGTTTGCTGCTCCAACAGAACCACTTTGTGCATACATCTATCGTTGTGCTTAACAGTTGCTTTTGAAATTATATGTTTACTATATGGTTCTGTGTTATTTCTAACCCCATAAAAAATTCCAGGCACTTTTGGGCAATCCTAGTTTAGTTCATTCTTTACCTGCTCTAGTCTTTATTGCCAGGCAGTTCTTATGTGAAAATAATCAGTATTTAAAAGTCCTTGAAGGGGTGCCTGGGTGGCTCAGTCAGTTAAGCGTGGGACTCTTGGTTTTGGCTCAGGTTATGATCTCGGGGTCATGAGGTCAAGCCCGTGTCAGGACAGCTCAGGTACAGTGTGATCAGTGCAGAGTGTGCTTGAGATTCTTTCCCCCTCACCCACCCTCCCCTCTGCTCCTCCCTCTGCTCACTCTCTCTCTCTAAAATAAATAAATAAACAAATAAATAAATAAAATCTTTTAAGAAAAGTCCCTCAAAGCATCAAAAGAAACAGAAACTGCTGACTATATTAGCATATAAAATGAAACCCAATTCAGTTTTTGATTGTTAGGCACTAGGCAACACTACACTAAACACTTTACATTAGTAACATAGAGTTTTGGTCCTCAAGCAGTTTACAAGTTAGTTGAAAAGCGTGTATTAGAGCTGATCCAAGACCAGTAGTCTCAAACCTGACCATTCACATGCACCTGAGGAGTATGCCATTGTTACTGTTTTCTTTCAGGTTCTTTGTTTAAGATCTTCAGTGATTCTTACAGGCAGCCAGCTCTAGCGTTTCAAATCCATTCCTTAGAAATGAGAAAATTGATCCATCTAAGGTTTCAAGGTCACACATTTTAAAATTAGAGCTTGAATTGGAACTAGAACCCAGATCCAAAACCAGAATTTCCCCCTTCATACAGTCAATACACAAAGTTACAAGTGACAAAAAAGATTTTTTATTCCATGTATATTTTGTCTTTTTCTATCAGCCTAATTGGGGAAATTAATATTTTCTGTAACTATTTGACCCTGAAAAGTCAAGAAAGCATTAAAACTTTATTTTACCCTAATACTCTAAGTTTTAGTTTATTTCTTATAAACTAAAAATAAATGAACAATCCAGTCTTCTACAAGTTCAAAGTCTGTAACCATAATATTAAAAACATTTAAATCAGTGCTGTTGTCTAAATAAACTATATGCACATAAGGCTTATTTAGGACTTTTACATTTGCCTGAAGGCTGTTATTGATAGGACAGAGCAACTAGCAGAAAGTTTGGATGGCCTGCCAACAAGTCTTGAGGAAAGCTTGCCAGATGATAGCCCCTTAGTAAAGGACTGCCAGCCCCATTTTTGCAGATTGAAACATCAGGGCTAAGAGTTTAAGTTGTTCTGATTCAAGACAGCAGCATTAGCAGTAAAGTACGATAAGGGCATATTCCTGATGGCCCAAACCGGAGGAGCCTCTGGAAACTTAAATAAAAGCTGGTTTGATTAGGAAGATACATTTCAAATCATCCTATAAATAAATATCAAAGCAGCACAAAGTTGTGGCCTCTCCAGGATGAGGTAACTACACTTTCTGAGCAGAAAACAAAACACTTGCTGAAGGTAAAGCGGTGAGCTGGAGAGGAGCCCAGGAAGGAAGACTGCTGCATAGTCATTTAGCAGCCACATCAGTAGATCCAGGCTTCTCAGAGGCAGCACTGTAGATGTAACTATAGAGGAGTGAACACCAGCACAGGCATAGGTGATTGAGATGGCCTCCTCTAGCGGCCAGCTTTTCCCAGTAACCTGTAAACTGTAACCTTTCCTAGGATCTGTCTAATTAGAACATAAGACAGTGCTTTCTTTCCCCAGTTCTTAGTCCCCACTATCCTACATTGACTTTGGCATTGGCATTTTACCACCTTTCCAATTCTTCTTAACCATTCCAAAATATTCATATGCTACTAATAAATAATGAGTGCAGGTGTTTAAAATGCATGTAGCCGGGGCGCCTGGGTGGCTCAGTCGTTAAGCGTCTGCCTTCGGCTCAGGTCATGATCACAGGGTCCTGGGATCGAGCCCCGCATCGGGTTCTCTGCTCTGCGGGAAGCCTGCTTCTCCCTCTTCCACTCCCCCTGCTTGTGTTCCCTCTCTCGCTGTGTCTCTCTCTGTCAAATAAATAAAATCTTAAAAAAAATAAAAAAATAAAATGCATGTAGCCAACTGCTTGCCTTATGAAACAAGACCAATCTTAACAAACGAGATAATAAATGTGACTTGAGAAGTGACAAAAAAGCCCGCCCCCTCCAAAAAAAACTCCCCCCCATACACAGCGGCTCTTTTCATTGCTTGAAATTTAATCACTATAGATATGGATTGCTTAAGTTAATCAGCCTTTTTCACTTTAAATGTAAATATAACTAAGATCAATAAACAGGCTCCTGAAGAGTATAGTAGAGCAGAAACCCCCTGTAGATTACAAGTCAGCTGTGAGATATTGATGGTGGGAAATTTCTCATATAATAATAAAACACTTTAAACCGTTTTTTGCAACCATGTAAAAACTGACAACAGTTGAAGTTCTATTTTAGCATTACCTTGTATGGCTTCCTGAGTAAACATCCTGAATTCAGAAATTACTCTGGCAGGTAAGATTTTATGCATACCATCTGCCGCTGGAGGGCGCTTTGTCGTGGATGTGCCACGTAGCACTTTCCCAAGGCTTTGGGTACGGGTATTGTCATTTTTTCATGTTTGCCATGACATGAAAAGATCACAACTATGATTCATTTTGGCATTTATTTACATTTATTTACATAGTGTCCATTATCACCTATGTCATAAAAGAAAGGACATTTTAAAGTAACACGAATGGACATTTTAAAGTATAACACGAATTTGCCTAGGACCCAGAAAGCTTCACCATGAGCCACCACTGGGTTTGAAAAACCCTGGAAACAGTTTATTTTAAAAATGAAATTAGAAATTAATATTGATTTAAAAGATGTGAGGGGAATCTATGCAGTATCTGTAGAATGTCTGTATTACTGAATTGTGTTTTTTGCAAATCAATGTTAAAATTTATATGCATTTCTTAACTTCAGTTGAGAATCAGAAGACAGTGGCCAAGGAGCATTTGGGGTTTATTTCTTAACAAAAACGCTAGTTAAGCACCGGTGAGGTGCTAAGGATCCATAATTAATTAGAACGGTTTTTGTATTTGAGTTGCCCAGAGCAAAAATAAACATGCAAGAAAATTAATTGAGGTTAATGAGATAAGTGCTACAATAGATGTATATCCAAGATTTAGAGATAGCACAGAGAAAGTTGTGGTATAGTAATCAGCTGGGGGGAAACTCTTGCTGTTTTTCTGAATCATGGAGAGATTATAAAGTGACCTCTGACGAGGCCTCAGGTTTTCCAAAAGTCACTCACTCTCTTTGCCTATAGAAGCACTTCTGGAAGAGGTGGGAGCCTTACTGCAAAAAATGTTTCCAAACTTGGATTCTAAAATAACTATCATTCCTTTTTTTTTTTTTACCTTTACACTTA